TCTGGCCCCAGCTCATGCCCTAGTTATCAGCTCAAACATTTTCCAAAACAGCCTAGGTTTCCTGGGGGAGATGGCCGTGCCTATAGTTTGTTTATACATGACAAGCTCCAGCTTGTTGAGAGGGCCATATTATTCCTGCACCGGGGGAGTGCGTCCGGACTCTGATACACCTTCCCCTAGGATCTTCCAAGTCCCCCAGATCCTGGGCTGGGCCAGGCAGAAACTCCCAAAAGGGCCTAGCCTGACCCTGCACCCACCAGTCCACCCACAGTCTGGGCTTTCAAAACCGGTCTGGCAGGCTGCCAGACATGGGGTGGGGGCAGTGACTGACAGGCTGGTTATTGGAAAGCTCCCATCATTAGCCTAGGAATTTTGTTTGGTTACCATGGTGACCCTCACTACAAGTGCACTGACTAAAGCACAAGGAATCTGTTACCTAAAACCAGTGCCCATGGAGCCCCAGCTTCAGGAACCATGCTTATCAGTGGTCCGTTCCCCTTGACCCCATATTCCTGCCCCTCCCCAGCAGAGCCTCCCAGCTGCCTCCCCTAGCCTGGATGAGGAGGAAGGACTAGCACAGGCAGCCTCCAGCTCACACAGGACAGAGACCGCTCACATTCCACCGCCTGGCTGGCTTGGAACCCAGGTCCAAATAGGGAGTTTGCTGCCCCCCTGAGGCCCCCTGCAGGCTGGCCAGGGACGGCCCGACCAGCACATGTGTCCAGGGCTTAGTCAGAAGCCCTCAGGATTTCAGGAAGCTGCTCAGGGTGTCTGGTTGCCCCCGTGCCAGGTTCACACTGTCCCCGCGGGGCCATCAGTCTCTGCCTCATCACGTTTCTGCCTTTTAAACCCGAGCTCCATTAACTAAAGGTCATCCCACAGCACAGAAATCAAGATCCTCTTTGCTTTTGCTTTCTAATCCCTGAATTTAGGGGGATTTTCAGAAGTTCAGCTCCATGAGGGCTGGGTTTTTCTCCAGGAGTCTTAAGACTGCCTGTAGGAAGGGTAGCATCCATTGCAGCTAAGGAACTTCGACACCTTCCCACAGGGCTTCCTGCCTCGGCCTGCACCTCCCTGCCCTCCTGCTAACGGTTCCCTCCTCCAGCTCCAGGCCCATCACACACCCTACCCTCAGCTGCCACATTGCTGCCTTACACTGTTGGTGCACTACCTTCCAGAATGCCCCACACTGCTGCCCTTGAGCATGCTTCTAAACCAACTGTGAGATCTTCTCTTGCCCGAGTCTCACAACAGACCTTGGAGGCAGAGGGAGGCAGGACAGATGTCTTTGGCAGATGAGGAAGCTGCTGGAAGTGGCACAGGTTAAGAGCATGACCCAGTGAGGGCAGGAACCTAACTGTGGCCCTCACGTGGGGACAAGCTCACATGGAAAGGGTTCCATCCCACCCACTGGCATGTCCCCTGTGCCATACCTCCTCTATACTTGACATGTGCCTGCCAGCCTCTTCCTTCATGAAGACAGCCTCTGGGAGCCAATGCACAGGCAGGTTCTACAGAAAAGAGCTTTGAGAGGCCTCAGCCACTTAGGAGCACACTGTGGGGAGCTCTTAGGGTGGCATACACACCTCACTGGGGGCACTGAGGTCAGGGTGAAGGGGGTTTGATCTTTTTGTTTGACTGCAATGATATTTACTGGACCGGCTGTTGAATTCTCTGCCATGGCAACAGCTGGAGCCACACACAGCTTGTTCCCAGCACAGGGAGCAGCTGGGGGACCAGGATGCAGTTTTAACTGAAAGAGCAATGACATTTGTCAGTGATCCCTGGCCGGTAATGGACTCAATGACATTTCCTGCTAATCCATGGGTTTTTGTGCTCTGTGGTTTCATCTGTGGGGAACAGTATTGCCTTATTTGCAAAAAGCCACGGTCATGCTCTATGACCACCCCACAGAGCTACATGGTAGGTGGATTTTCCACACCCACTCCCAACTTCTTATATATGTATTTTTTTTTTAAAGGTTGATTTTTTTTTTCTTAATTTTAAATAACAGAAATGCACTGTCTCACAGTTCGGAAGGCCAGACGTGGCCTGTAGATATTTTTTAGTTTTGCAGCCTTTTAGGGCTGGCTCTGATCAAGACAGAGATCCTCATGGCCATGGAGGTGAGGGGCTCACGGTGGCTTAGAGATAAAGAATCTGCCACTGCTTCTCTATCCCCACTGTTCCCAGTGGACACGCTTTGCACAGTGAGGCATCACAGAGAATGGGATGCTCTGGTCCCCAGGCCTCTCTGCAGTGACACAAAACGGAAGAACCCTAGGGATGGGACTCAAACACTTCCCCTTCTTGGGCTTGGATTTCAAAGATGCCTCCCTGCTGCCAGCCCCATGGCCCAAGCTCCCAAGGCCCCAGCAGTGACCCCGTGGAGTCTAGTCTGGATGGGACAGCTGTGTTCTCATGCAGAGGCTGTCCCTTCAGAAGGCTCCTGCCTGAAGAAATAAGGGCACAGTTGACACAAAGGGGCACAATTATCCTACAAGTTGACCAAGAGCTCAGTCTGCACTGGGGAAGCGCTTGCCATCTTTTTTGCGTTTAGGGTCCCTTGGAGAATCTGCTGAAAGTCATCTCCCTGGATACACACACATAGGCACAAATGTTATGGTTTGGTTCTAGGCATTCCTGGAGGCCCCAAAGCCCACCCACACCTCCTAAGGAGGAGTCACCAACCTCAGCAAGGACCACCTCCCCCACCACCCATGAAGGTCCTTGCAGTGAGTGAAGCGTTTCCAGGTGAAGGAGTGTGCACCTGAGGGGGCAGGGAGGGGCGGAAAGCGTGCTTGAGGGGAAGGGCACACACACTGCCCACACAGTAGGGAAAGGCTGCCGAGAAGGGGGCTTCCTCACCAGGCCCCGGAGCTCAGGAGGCAGGAGGCACCTCCCCTGTGGTGGGTCAGGATGCTGAGGCAGAACCAGAGGGCTCACCCCCCCAACACAGTGTGAAGTGCCATTAGCCTCCCCACTTCAGGCCAGGGGATGAGATTCTGGCAGCAGAAAGAATTCAGCCCAGAAGTTAGGAGGAGACACTGCGGTGAGACGTCAGGCGCTGGAGTGGGTTGAGGGGAGAGCTCCCTGCAGAGACTGGGGGTCCGAGGAAAGGCCAGATGCATGGCATGACAGTCCCCTGCCCTGCTTCCATCAGGACAGCTCTGCTCCCCTCTGTTCCCACACCGTCTCAACTGGCATGTAAGATTTCACTTGGGAAAAGGAGTTGCTGATAAAACCATGTGTGACACCAGGCCTCACCTCTCTTTCTGTGACGCCTGTTCTGACCTGGGAGCAGGGCGAGGAGCCCCTCCCCACTCTAGGATTCGAAGCTTTTCTTGGGGAAGGTTTCTTTTTCCATCAAAGCCTGACAACAGAGTACACACACACACACACACACACACACACACACACACACAGCTGGTAGCAGACCCTGCCTGACAGTTGTGAGGACATAGCTAGGAAAACAGCGAGGTAACTGGTACCGGGAGAGAAGGAACATTGGTCCTCTTTGTATTTCCACTGAAAGTGAAAAATGAACTTCTACACAGTAGGTCTTGCTGTATTGTGTGTGGGATTAATGAGACAAGGTAACTCATTCTTGTCTGCACACACTATTTCATCTGTGTTGTAATATTCCCTCAGTGACCTACCTTTTCAAGTGAACTGATTGGGGGGCTTGCTCTTCAGTGGGGCACACTGGGGAGCTTACATTAAGGGCACTCTGCTGCTCCCAAAGCACCTTTCTTGAGCCCTGGCGAGGACAAAGTCATCCCGCAGAGTCCACAGGCAAAGCTCCCCGCGCTGGAAGGAGGCCAAAGGCACAGGAAAGCCGGCCCTGCCCCCTGATGGGCTAGGGATGGACAGAGGTGGACACCCAGGCTCCCCACACGAAGGGAACCTCCTCGGGCTGGGACAATAGCGGCTTCCCTCTGTCACCTAACATGGCTATGGCACCCACCAATTTCCCCCTAATTCTTCATGAACCTGTTTTCACTGCCAATGGAGTCATCCCTCAAGGTAGCCAGGACCATGCTTCTTTTCTGCTGTCTGAAGCAGGACTGCCCTTCGCTGGTTTTACATAGCCCTCCTTCAGACCTGAAGGTGGAATGTGGTGGGAATGGGGGCACTCAGGGACCCCCTCATCCCCTGTTCACAGGATTCAGATAAACAAGGTCTATTATATCCAGTGTCATGTGTCTGGGCAGGGGAGGGCAGAAATCAAAAGACAACTGGCCTCCTCCTCATTCCCTCCTGCGGGCCATGCACCTCCTGCCTCAGCTGGTCCAGCATGGCTCTTGTTCCCCAGTGTCCTAGTTGGGTGGCAGCAGGTCCTCTCTGTATAGGTGGGGGCAGGAAAGTCTAGTCCTGCCCCACCCACCATGGCCTGGGCCAAATGCAGCATGAACCCTGCTCCAAAGAGAGGGGCATCTGGGCAATGTGGCAAATAGGGGGTGCGGAGGAGCCAGGGATGGAGGGAGAGGCCGGGACTGCTCTGGATGGAGAGAACCCCTTTCCTCCAATGCCGGTGGCCTGCTTGGAGGCAGGGGGATGGCTCACTTGGCCTCCACCAGCCAAGCCAATGTTAGAATCCATCCTTGGCTGGCTGTGCCAGGGTTATGATTAAGTTACACAGGTCAGTGTCCCCATAAGGCTCAAATGCAGAGCCCGGGGCAGGCGGGCGGGGGGAAGCAGCTTGAGCACGTGCATTCGAGCACAGTCTCCTCTGTGGTCCCCAGAGCTCACATGGAGCCTGCAGCTGCCATAGAGAGCTCACCACTCCCCACCTGACACTTCCTGGCACAGAATGCCAGAGCCATTCTCTGACCCCACACGTCTTCCATGCCCCACCTTGACCCTCCAGCCAGGAGTGTGCATGCAGTAGGCACTTAATCAGTATGTGCTGGCTGGCTATGTGGCAGGGTGAGGTGTGCATGGGCACCTGTGTCTATGGTAGGTGGCCCCCAGCCCTGTAGTGTCCATAGGGAACTCACTTGAAGTTCTCTGGATACTCTGTGATGGCCATGTTGATAACATCCAGGGCATGCTGGTAGTGTTTCTGGGCAGAGAAGAGAAGTGCCAGCAGGTGGAGGGCGTTGGCATCATCCCTGCACATTTTCAGGGCCTCCTGCAGCTGCTCCATGGCACTGGAGATCTGCCAGAGAAAACTGCCAGTTTAGTGACCTTCTCCAAGGCCCAACCTCCCCCAGGACTTTGGTGCCAGCACCTGCCAACAAGGGCATAGCGGACTCAAGTGAGCTCCTGGGCCCTGGGTGGGGAGGGCTCATGCTCTGATGAGAAAACACACCCTAATGACATGGCAAGAGGGGTCTGCTGTCCCAAGTCAGGCCTGGGAAGTCACTGCTGCTCAGGCCTAAAGGGGAACAGGATTATGGTGTGGCACAAAGGGTTTGGGCAGATGCCAGGGCTGTAAGAAAGCTACCCAGGTCATGAGCTACAGACCGAGAGATGGCCTCTTCTCCGCATGGTTTATGTGGTGATGGAGGCTGGCAGACAAATATCTCTTCCCACTCGGAGGGTCATAGTGGCAAGAGCTTAGGCTCTGGGGTGAGCTGGGGGCATGGGTCCCAGCTCTGCCACTTCCTAGCTGGACCCTTTGGGTAGCCTCTCTGAGCTGCAATTCTTAGCCATCAAAGTAAGGATAATGTTCACGCCCATTACAGTGGCTGAGAGGGTGAGACGATGTAAGAAAACGTCTGCACCGTCCTGGACATGAGTGAAAATGTGCGTTTCCCTCTTCAAGCCCCCAAAGCCCAGGCAGCGACCAAGCAGGTAAGCCTCTTCCTTCTCATCATGAGGGATGTGTTCTCTCACACCCTCGGGACTGGCAGCTGCATCGGCTCTTGCAACCCTACCCACGTCAGGGCCCTATCCCCCCAGGAAGCTCGGGATTCTTTTCTAGAAAGTCTTGCTCCTTACCGAACCTCAGACGTGGGCCTCCCAGGCTCCCTGAGGGGCCTATGGTCCCGGGTATACCTGGCCCCAGCCAGGGGTCCACCCAGCCTCTCACCTGCTGTGAGCACTAGTGCCAGGCCCAGACTCCTCCCACGGGAGCTCCCTTTTGTGGAAAGTTCAAGGGAAGTGAAGGAAGCTAAGTGGTCACTGGTTCAGCTTGCCTGTGTCTCCGTAAGGCTACTCCTCCCTGGCGATTCTCCAGAGCACCCCATTATCCTGGGCTGAGTATCTAAATCCACAGCTGTCACTGCTCAGGCAGCCACACGTGCTCCGAGCAAGATGGGCTGGAGGGCTCCAGAGACCCAGGCAGGCCAGGTTTAGCCCAGAGTCCATTCCCTGAGGCTCCCAAGGTCTGGAGTCCCCAAGGAAAATGGGTGCCAGGCTCCACTGGCCTAGCCCTGCCATCTCTCTGGGAGGACAGACACCATTCACCAGAGGTGGCTGAATAATTAAAGATATTAAAAAGGTATCACCAAAGGTTTATCATGAACTTGATTGGTGTTTATACAGAAGGCTAAAATACAGTGGTCTCAGGTATTTCTGACCGTGTTCCTTGCAAAACCAGAGCAGAGTGATGTTCCTTGGGGAGAGCGGCAGAGAGGTACCAAGTGCCTCAACCAAGACCTGGAGTCTAGAACCATGGGGCACAGGGGGGAAAAGGGCTGGGACAGGTGGTGGCAGCCTGGAGGTGGAGGCAGGAGAGTGAGTTGAGGAGGGTGGTGGGCAGGTGCAAGAGAAGGGGAGAGAAGCAGCAAAAGGGAGAGGGAAGGAGAGCAGGGCCACCGGGGAGAAAAAGGCTGAGACAGGAGACCGGGAGAGATGAGTGACGAATCCAGTCAGGGTACACACAGGCGCTGGGACAAAGGTATGGGCATGGGGGTCCCAGTGATGGGAGTAAGGGTGCAGTGAGGGGAAAAGCCAGGCTGCTGCAGGGCTTGAGAGGAAGGTCAAGCAGACAGCAGCATGAAGCACCCAGGTGACCCCAGAGCCAGGAGAATCAGCTCGCGGGACCACCTGAACACAACACCAGAGGCTAGGAGGTGACACAGACCAGGAGGCCAACTGCAGGCTGGCAGATAAGGCTCTAAATGAATCAGGGCACAGGATGCTTAGAGCTACATGGCATGTCTAATGGGGGCAGAATGGGCTCTGGAGCAGAAACCTGGCTTCAGTGCTGGCTGAGCTGAAGCTCGGCAGGGTCCCAGTTCCTGCAGTATAAAACAGGGCCAAGGGCACCCTCCTCATCAGATGGAGGGCTCACCCAGCTCAGTGAGGGGCACAGCAGTACCCACGATTGCCAGGGCCGCCATCACCTGACCACCAGAGGATGGAGGCTCTGTTGGCTTCTCTCCAACAGTCTAGAGGCCAGCCCGGTTCCCTTGGTGCAGATACAGAGAGCTGTGCTGTGGACGCCAAGGCTGTCTGCAGTCCCCGAACGGTCCAGAGACCAGCTCACTGGGTCAAGGCCAAGAGGTCCTGCTTTGGAGGCCAGGGGTGTGCACCGAGCCCCAGCCATGCGAGGCACGCACATGAAAATCAGAGGTTCCCAAGGGCCTGGGAGAACGGGGAGCCCTGGCCCTTTTATGAAAGGTGACCCACTGGATGGATGACTGCCTGGCCTTACTCCCTGGACGGACCAGTGTCCTCACAGCACCAACAGCTCAGCTGCTCAGCTTGGGAAAGAAGGTGGGTTGGGCAGTGGTGGTAGCTCCAGTGGGGCCAAGGTGGCCAGGGGATAGGAGGCCCCCTACCAGGTCCTAGAGGCTGAGCCTAATGGTACTGTCCACAAGGCCAGGGACAAGCTCTGGGGTCCACAGAAACAGCTCTGTGTGTGAGTCACTCTGCTCTCCTAGATCTGTGGAGAAAGCCCAGTGGAGGTGAGGACATAAATACTTCCTGTGGTCACTCATCAACTTCTCAGGAGACCGAACTGTTCAAGGGAGTGTGAGGACAGAGAATAATCCCTTCCTGTGTGCCCATGGGCTCTACCACATTTTCTGACTCAATCCTTACTAGGTCCCTCTGAGGTGGCGTATGAAGATGTTCAGATAACAGATAAAAAAACAGAGACTGAGAGAGGTTAAGTCCTTGCAAAGGGTCACGTGGCTAGTAACAGCAGTGGTGCCAGGAGCAGACCCGCAGCCCTCGGGGACCTGGGACTCAGGAGATATGACAACCCACCTGGCGGACGAGGGCCAGCTGCAGGGAGACATAGAGGATGACCTGGGGGTCACCGGGCGCCAGCTGCTGGGCTCTGTGTAGGGAAAGGGAGCAACAGGTCAGTGAGGATTGAGCACCCAGTGTGCGATGTGCGCCTCCAGTGTGCCAGCCCTGTGTTGGGTGCCGCAGGGCAAAATGTCAAGGATTCTCAGAGGGTGCCTGGTAGGGGAAGATGGTGTTGGCAGCCCGTCAGCAGCAGGCTCCAAGAGGGCTGGCTCTGCTGAGGTGGGGGGCCATCTGGGGAGGGGAGGACTGGGGGATGGGCACTGCCTCTCACTCTGGGCAACTGTTAGCCTGGCTGAGGCCCTGCGGTGGCCTTGTACAGAGCCCGAAGCCTGACCTCTCCATCACAGGATAGAAGGGAACACTCCTGTGCGTGGAGGGCCTGGGAATGGCCTCTCTGGGAGAGAAGCCTTGGGAATGAAGAGCTAGCCCGGGCAGCTCAGCGGGGGTTGGCGGGGATGAGACTCTTCTGACTCGCTGGGTTCAGGAACAACCTGCCCCAGAGAGGGGCTGGATGTGCTACATGTTCCCACAAAGATGGCACAGGAGTCTAGGGCAGGCCCCAAACCAGCAGTTTCCACATCAGTCCTCAGAAGGAGTAAGACACACAGGGCTGGGAGGGCAGAGCCCTGCAACAGGCCAGAGGAGCCCAGAAGGATGCTTGGGAGGGACCCAAGGCTGGGATGGAGTCAGGGACTTAGCAAGGAGGAGGCCTAGGGAGGGCCACCACAGGGGAGGGGCTTCTCTGGCATCCCCTCCCCTCCTTCCCTCCAGGACCCCACCTTGGCTGCCAGGATATCTCTGAGCAAGGGGGTGGGGGTGGGGGTTGCGGTGATTCTCACAGTCCTCTGGTTGAAGACTGGGCTGGGAGGAGGCAAACACCAATTCTGTGTCCCTGCTACTAATACAAGGTGAGTCTCTAGTTATCTCACATAATTATCACAACAACAATGGGCTATCACTCCCATTTTAGAGGCCTAAGCTCCCAAGGGCAGGGGCCAAGCCTGGGGGCACTCTACCTGCCCACAGAGCTGGGTGTCCTGGTCAATAAAATGGGGATGGAAACCATTCAGTTTACACCAGCGGGCTCACTGGGATAAAGCATGTGGATGTGCTATCTCGGGCCTCTGCCGTGGCGGGGCCCTCCTCACCTCTCCAGCGTCTGCAGTGCTTTCCGGTGCAATTCGTCTTGCTTGGATTTCAGAGTCGCTGCAGGAGACAAGACAGAGACAGAGCCATGAGCGGCTGCTGAAGGGGTGCCGACCCAGCCCCGCCCCATCCAGGCCACTCAGGCTCTGCAGGGAGGGGCCCCACCAGGGCGCTATCTGGCCAGTGCTTGCACACTCCAGTGGTTCCGGACTGATGCCACCCACCGCCCTCGTTACCACGGGTAGGTGTGAGGTGTCCACTTGGCCCCAGCTTCCCGGCGTGTTTCTTGCCACACCAGGGCCTTCCACGGCCACCTGAGCCTTGAGAGACAGGTTACCACCACATGCCTCCTCGGGCTTCCTTATCTACAGGCTTCTTCTTTTTTAACCACTTTAACACATTTTTTTTTTTTTTGGCAAAATTTGTTTTACATTTATTTATTTTTGAGAGACAGAGTGAGACAAAGTGAGAGTGGGGGAGGGGCAGAGAGAGAGGGAGACACAGGATTGGAAGCAGGCTCCAGGCTCTGAGCTCGAACCCACAGACCGTGAGATCATGACCTGAGCAGAAGTCGGACGTTCAACTGACGAGCCACCCAGGCGCCCCACCACTTTAACACATTTTAAGTGTTACATTTTAAGGGCAGGTGTTTGAAGCCTTAGCTGCAGACTGAACTACCTGGGAAGCTTTAAAATGATTGTCATCCAGGCCCCAGCCCAGCCCTGGTCAGATTACTCTTCCAGGTTTGGTCTGCATGGGGCCCCATAACTCCCCTTCCTGCAACGACACAGAAATAGGTGGCTGCCTCATCGATGGGAGGTGGGGGGGACACACAGCTGAGCTGGCAGGGGGGGGGTTGGGGATGGGGGGGGGGAATGCCGGGGTTTGGGGTGGCCGGGCATTAGGAGTGGCTGATGGAATCCATCCGCCAAGCACAAGTATTTATTAAGCACCAACTGTGTACCCAGCAGTATGCCACGTGTCAAGGGGGGGTTAAAAGACCCTAGAAGGTCACAGCAGTGCTGAGGGCAAGAGCAAAACAGAAGAAAGACACCATGGGGTTCGGGCAGGCAGCACAGTACAGACTACAAGCACTACAGGAGTTCTAGAGGCAGGTATGAGCTCCTCTGCCCAGGAGCTGGGGCCTGGGAGGGTGGGGAGAACTGGGTCCATGAAGAGGGCATGTGTAAGAGTGTGAAGTCTGGGTAAAAGACTGGAAACTGGACTGAGGGTGTGTGTGTGTGTGTGTGTGTGTGTGTGTGTGTGTGTGTGTCTGCACTCAACGGAGATGTGTTGGGGGTAGGCACTGGTGGGACAAGACGCCTGAGAGGCTGCTGGGAAGTCTGAGCCCCCCAAGCGGACGCCCCTAGGCTGTGGCACTCACCGTCAGTGGCCTGCAGGCTGTAGGTGAGACCCAGTGCCAGGTAGCCCTTGGAGAGGAACTCCCCGGCTTCCTCCCTCAGGTCGATCACCATTGTGGCAAAGTGCTCTGCCTCCTCCAGCTGCAAAGAGGACAGGCAAAGGTCAGTGGGAGGGCTTTCCTGGACTCAGTCACCAGCCTGGGACACTCAGAACTACAATCCCTCATGTGTGGGCAGCACAACCAGAGGCCACGTGGCTTGTCTGAGACCACACAACCACGGAGTGGAAGAATCAAGGCTGTTTCCTCCATCAGCGACTCCCTGGAACTCCTCCCTGCAACCCAAGGACCTGTGATCAGTGTCAGAGGAGAAAGCTTCCCTCGCTCCAGACATTCTAGCTCCCCCAAAAGGACTCTGCCTAGAGCATGGACCCAGGACCAGGCCAGCTGGTGAAAGCTCCTTTCATCATCTGGCCTCTGTAGGAGCCTCTGTCTGTCTCTGCCCTGTGTGGCAGAGAGAAGCCAGGGCTGGTGGGGGTGGGGGGCAGGCAGGGCTTGGGGACTGGGCCCTGGGGACACCGCCCACCCTGCAGAGTGGGCAGGCTGCCACTCTGGCTCTGTCTGTGAGCTGGCTCCCTGAGCTCAAACTTTTCAGGGGAAAAAGGCCTGAGGCTGTTTTTGTCCTGGAAGCAGGAAGAACTGTTCCGGTTGGAAAGGAACCAACTGGCGCAGGTCACGTGCACACACACCATCACACGTGTCACGTGACACAAAGAGGGGCTCCCACGGGGGTCAGGCTAGTCAGGGAGACGGGGGACAGCTGGGGGGTGGTCTCAGCTGTGCCCACTCATGGCCCACAGGCCTTGAAGAGGCCCCCTCCCTCCTCCTCAGCCCAGGTATGGCATCTGCCCACATGCCTGGCATGGCAGTGTACTGGTCTTAGTGTTCCTGACAACAAAGATGGGAGCCACCCCACAGCTAGGGGGCTGAAGGGACCATACCCCAAGCCCCGCTGCCATCCAGATGTCAAGGCCCCCTGTGTGGGGCATCTCGCCCCCAGCAGAGGTCCATAAAGTCAGACAACCAGGGAGCAAGATTCAAACCCAAGTTGGCTTCTGACACTCGTGCCAGTGCTGCTTCTACCCTGTTCTTGTCCCTGCCACCCCACCCTGGCAGGAGAGGGTCAGCTCTGTGCATCTTGTGGCCTGACCACTGGCCACAGCCGGGGCGACGGTGGACGCTCCCTCCCTGGAACGTGGAGTTGAGATCCCGAGACAGAGGCCATCAGCAGAGGGGAGATTAGTTGGGGAGTCTGCCCTTTGTGCACAGTCGGGGTACATTCTGTGCAGGGAAAGGGCTGAAGGAGCAGAGAACCCACTGTGAAGGGAGGGAAACAACAGAACCCAAACACAAGGAAGTAGAACATGTGAGCTGACAGCCCAGACAGAGATGGCGGGTGGGGGAATGAATCCCTGTGTGGCCTGCCCATCATCCCTGACCAGGGCAGTGCTCCAGCCCCTTCATGCTGGTGCTCTAGCTGCTGGCCTGGACAGCAGGCCACCTCCAGGTTGGTGGGCTGGTCACTGAGAGGAGTAGGGGGTCCAGGGACCTGAGCTCTGACACCATCAGGCCCTAGGATTCACAGTTTGGGGAAGGCCATAGCTCAGGAAACTCCTCAGCTGCCTGCTGCCCATCTCAGCTGGCCAGGGGGGGCCAAGCCTGTAGCAGCTAAGACCTGTTTCCTTGCACCACCTGGTCCAGCAGGACCTGAGGTGGGGGGTGGGGGTGGGCTTGGGGGCCTGAAGTCAGAGCCAGGTTGAGAGAAAAGCCCTGGAAGATGAGCTCCCAGACACAGACTCTGATACTCACCTGGCACCTGACAGCTGTGGGGCCTGGAGCAAATCACTTAATTTCTATGCCCCAAAGGTCCTCTTCTGCAAAATGGGGAGTTGGACCCCACCTCCAACTGCTCCTCCCCACAAACCTCCACCAAGGCTTCTGCAGCAGCAGGCTCTGTGATGGGCCCAGCTGAGGAACCCAGTGATAAGGGGGCAGGATGCCTAGGTGAGTTCACAAGGAAACCCCGCAAGCGAACAGGGTGGCCTCTTAATTAAGGCTCCCTGTGTAATGCTGGCATGGGGCTACTGGAGCTCCAACAGAAGGACAATCATGTGGCTGTGGTTGTCCAAGGAGGACTCATGGCGGGGGGCATGGGGGGCAGGAGGGACCAAGAAAAGGGTTAAGTGAGTAAACTCCACCTTTCCTCCTTCCTAACATCCCATTGCTGACACAGCTCATCGCGTACAGTCTTTAGGCATCATTATGCCCCATCCAAACAGGAGCAAGCTTGTTTATAAACCACCAATTACCAGTTACAGAAAGAATCTAGAAACCAATTACATCCATGTGTATACACTCTTCCCATGACCATGTCCTTCTACTCAGCAAATGCCGGCTTCTATCTCCTCCTTCCCAGGTAGGGAAGGTGCTGAGAACAAGGCTCAACAATTACTGGCAAACAGGGAGAAGTTACTCTCCAGTTCACACACATCATATTCTGGATTAGAAGAGCTCACCACACTTTAGTTTTAAAAAGTGAAAACAGGGGCACCTGGGTGGCTCAGTCAGTTAAGTGTCCAACTTCTACTCAGGTCACAGTTCATGGGTTCGAGCCACACATCAGGCTCTGCGCTGACAGTGTGGACCCTGCTTGGGATTCTCTCTCTCTCTCCTCCATTCCCTCTCTCTTTCCACTCCTCTCCTACTTGCACACTCTCTCTCAAAGTAAATAAATAAACTAAAAACATACATCCTTAACTTGTCCAACTTGTGGTTCACTCTGACCCCCAGGTCAGGAGCCTTCCTCAGTCAGTACTTGCCAGCCTTGTTTGTCCATGTAGTTTAAGCACTGTGTCAGCATTTGTCTCAAATCAAACTCACAAAGCTTGAATATACCATTTTCCCTAGATGCCCAACACTATTTTGGTTCCTACCACCTATTACAAAGCAGCCTTTTTGCATGAGGAGTCACTGCAGTGATGATGAAGGGGAAAAAATATCAATTGTTTTAAATATGTCAACGTACAACATGCTAACATACAGTATTAATATAGATGGGAGCTCTAACTGGTCAGCGAAAGGAAAAAATGCTGTCACAGCAAACAAAACAAAAACAAAACAAACCCAAGATTTATATGTATTTTAAATATATTTTAAAAACAAGAAATATGTATATAAATATATAATATGTATATTATATATTTACATAAGTATACATATATATATACACAAGTATATACACACACACACATACACACTACACACACACATAAACAAATATGTACACACACAATGCACCATTCCCCTTCATCTAAGACATGAGTGGCAATCCTAAAGCCCTTGAGAAAGTGGCTTTGTCATGTTTGTTCTGAAATACTAAGTGCCCAGCCAAGTCCACACTCAGTTCCACACTCAGGAATAAGCTCTCCACACGGATAGCAGGGCAGCCTTGAAAGCTGAGAACACAAGCCCTGGGACCAGACTTCTCACACTCAAATCCTGGTTTGGTTACTTACTAACTGTGTGACCTTGGGTAAATCACCTCACTTTGCCGTGCCTCAGTTCCCTCTTCTGTAAAATGGTGTGACAAGTGTTTGTCTGTGAGGCAGTTGCTGGGAGGACTGAATGAGATAAGACACAGTGAATGCTCAGAGCAGTGCTTGAATAAATGTAAACTATTATCATTAGCTAGTGAATTTCTATCTATAATTAGTTGCATCCTCCAGAATTCTCTTAGGCATCAGCCTGACAGATGTGGCAAGTGCCATCTGAATAAAGTCCTCATGCCCCCTTGTACATGACCTCTCTGACAAATCAGGAAGTGGCATCAAAGACTGTCCTGGAATCCAAAGGGGGTACTACTGCCTGCCTTTTATCTCCTGCCTCAGAAAAGGAGACAATACAGAAGGACCAGCTGGGTCTCCGCAGCCCTGTGTAGTCTACTGTGCCAGCTGGTCAAACCCTCTGACCCTCTATCCACAGTCCAGAACACACAGACCTACACCCACTAACCTACCCTTTGTAACAATACTCACCCCTGCTGTGGGTAACACACTCAGAATGATATTTTCCATCTTATTCTCTGATAGTCTATTTCAATTTTTTCTTAAGAAAGAGTTCTATTTCACAACCCACGAACGGGTCTCAGCTTCCAACGGGAAAGCCACAGCTCTAATCCAGGGGCTGACTGAGCTGCCCATCTACAGCCACCCCCATCAGCTTTCTCCCTGGGACTCCCTCACTTGGCCTTTTCAGTCTCCAGACACTTCCTATGGTGGCCTCAAAAGTTGGCAGCTGGTAGCTCTGCAGTTGGGGCTGCTGTTTCTGCAAGATTAGCTCAGATTACAGTGCTGGGCCCTCCTTGCTCAACCACACTCTTCCAGGGTGACAGGTTTTTAAAGTTCTTTTCAGCTGTTCTCCTTCCAGTGATACACTACTTTTTAAATATCTCCTTTACCTATGGCAGTCGTGTAACTTCGCCATGAACCCCACATAGAGACCCCCTCCATGCCCCTGCCTTTCCAGAGAGGTTTAGTGCAACCTGGTGCATCATAGCACCGCTGCCACCTGATGGAACAGGTGTCTCACAGCTGAAGGTTCTGGGGCACAGGGAGCTTAGGGGACCTGTTCGAGGCCACCTGGCTAGTGACAGAATGGAGTTTCTAACCCAGGTCTCCTGAGCCTACATCTGGATCTTTCTGAGCTACCTGATTCACAGCTGCCCTCTGTGGGTCTTCACTCTCTTCCTCTCTGACCCTTTGGGAAAAGGAGGCAATGAAGGTTCTAATGTGTGGACCCTTTGCTTCGGCTTTCCGGAAGTAAGGGAAGTGTTCCCATGACTTCACAAGTTCCTAACGGCTCTCTGGTTTTCCTGACTTGGTCCCTACACAGACAGGCTTCTGACTTCCACACTTTGCTCTTGCTTGGCTGCCTTCTGCTTCAAGGGCTGCCTCATTCATCTCGCATGAGGCCAAAGAGGTTGTACCCCTGGCATTTCATTCTCTTCCTCTTCCTGGGAACCAGAGAAAGTTCCTTTCTGAACCTCTCCAGTTTCTCCTCAGTCCCTTCCCATGGGGCTCAGGGCCTGTTGTCAACTGCTCCACTGAAAATGCACTTTTCCCTTCCCAGGAGGAACAGGACGAAACTTCTGTATTTCCACAGGCTAGCGGCAGGATTGCTGGCACTCTGTCTTCCCTGTCTCTTAAACACTCATCTTCCTGGCTCTGGCCACCCCTGAATCTGAAAAATGGAGGTAAAAACACAAAAGCATGTGCTTTCTGAGAACCTGCTGTTTTGAAGGGTCTGTCACAGGGATAGCGGCCATTCATCAGGTACTTGCAACGTGGTAGGCAGCAACACTGCTCAGCTCTGGTGTTCACAGCCACCTGTAAAGGGTGGATGTGACAGTTTCCATGGTACAGATGAGGCATGGAGAGGGCAAATTACTCCCCTAAAGTCACACAGCTACTGAGCGGGCAGGGATTTGAACATGATCCTCTCTGTCTCCAAAGCCTGCACTATTTGCACGGCCTCATACAGCCCCCTCGGGAAGAGGCCCAGAGACAGCATACAGACCTTTCAAAAGAGGAGCATGGTCTGCTTTTCCATTTCATAACGCCCTTCTTGTGTGCGAAACACAGCACACATGCACACCCCCAGCTCCTGTCCTCCTAGGGAAGTTTCACCTTTTTAAATTAAATACATTTTAAGTAATTATGTTTGGAGAGAGACTAAAAAATATTTACATCTCTTTCCTTCTTGCCCCAAAACTGGCTGGGGACCTTAGCAAGACATCGGCCATGGCAAGGCAGGAGGCTACCACACGCAGCAGCAGTTACTGGGTCAGAGCCTGGGATGCCCCCCTACCCGCCACCTAGGGGAGCCTCAGGCTAAGCCTCGGGGCCAGTACTCTCCCACCTGACCCCATACCTGACCCAGGAGCAATCACCTTGCATCAAACCCGTCAGCCAGCATGTGGCCATGCAGGTCCCTCTGCCTGGTGCCCTCCTTCCCCCACCACTACCCGAGGACAACCTGGCTCTCAGACCCAGACCTAGCCTAGGGTGTCCCATGCTGGCTCTGGGCATGAGGACAGGACGTGGGGACAGCAGGTGCTCCACCTCTGGGCACATGGCCACCGAGGCCGGTTTAACCCAGCACAACTCGTTTTTCAAATGTCCCAGTTTCAGCCTCCTTTCCTGCAACCTGGGCCAAGTTGTCCACCCCTAGATTTCTGTCCCCAGCTCACGGGGCTTGGCTGGGCAAAGGCTGGGGCTGCCGGGGGCTGTTGTGAGCCAGAAGAGCTGCAAAGGCAAGAGACAGAGGTGGCATCAGATGCCTTTCACAAACTGTGCTCCATCCCAAGTACTAGTACCCCTCTGCCCACCGAGGTCAGACCTGTTCTTCCTGTTTGTGGCCCTGCAAATAGAAAGTGCTGGGCCACCCCTCTCCCGGCCTCCTTGGAGAACAGGCTGCCCTTAGCTACCCACGGTCTGCTCTCTGCCCATGCCAACTCGGGAACCTGAGAACCACTGAACCAGAGGCAGACTTTCCACACTCATCCCTCCCAGCCAGCTGGGGTGGGAGTCATTCTCTAAGATATTAGCGGACACCTAACCACATGCAGGGTTCTTTGCTGGGGACAGATATGCGGGGTGCAGTGTGGTAAGGAAAGAAGCTCCCCGACTATTGGGAAGAGAAGTACCACACAAAGCAGAATTGGTTGCCCAGTGATTGGGCTCATCGGCAAGTAGGATCTATCCAATAAGCACCAGACATTAACTCTGACCTGGGGTTTAAGAAGGAAGAGAGACAGTTTCTGCCCTCAAGAAACACTGGTGATTACAATGTAATGTGCTAGGTGTCCAAGGCAGGTATAAATGGAACTTTAGGGAGGTGCAAGGGTTCCAGGTTAGGGACGGCCACCAGGAGGCCTGGCCCTCCAGCATGTCCTGGCTCTAGTCTGGACCCAACTGAAACCCCATCTCAAACCAGCCCCCAAAGCCGTGCATGCTTCTCAGCTGAGGTTAAACAGCTCACCCTCCTCTCTGATTCTGATGACAAGTCTGCATGTTTAAGTTTCCTTTTGGGCTTTTCTATTTATGTTGTCATTGATGACTTTGCTCCTAACTCATCTGATTTCAATTTGGACTGATTTGATCCTAATTTTATTACCATGTAATCTGAATGCATGTAATGACTGTAATTATGCTGCTGAGGGAAACAGCTCCTCCACGGTGGGAAGACCTAAATTTAGGCTTCCTGGCAAGGGACTGCTGGCTGGGTGGACACCCACAGCCACCTCAGAGCTGGCGGCCTATGAGAGGACAGAGGCCCTCCCCTGCCCCCGCTCAGTGAGGCGGGTATTTGGGGCTTTGTCCCAGAGATGGACTTGAGGCCCCTCTCAAGAGCCTCAGAAACATGCAGGAGTGTGAGCGAGGGGCCCGTGAGCCCCCCTTCTCTGCACCCCCCGGCTCACACCATAGCCCTCTGTTGCGGTGCTCAGTCTGGGCGTCTCCTCTCTGCCGACACCCGCAAACCAACCATGTCCCCACAGCTCCCCACTTCTAAGATGCAAGACACCAATAGTTCCCCTGCAAGGATTTGGGGGGCAAGGAGTTTCCCTGCTAATCATAGCGTGGGGAAAGCAAGCAGTGATGGAAGAACCCACCAGTAGCCTGACCCTCCACAGTCCAAGGCCACCTCCTCTGTGAATCTCCTTGACCCATCTAGCCTTCTACATACTTTATGTCATTTATGCCACATATGAGGAACAGACTGTAATTATTTCCATTTTACGAATGAGGAAACTGTGCACAGCAAGGTTAGTACTTTACTCAAGACCACCCAGGGGCTGGGCAACAAAACTTTTACCCACATCATCACACAGCCTCTTCCAATGCCTGGAGCCTGTTATAGGTCCTTCTGCTGAATTTCTCCCTCACTAAAACCACCCTCTAAAGCCTGGGGCCGGCTGGAAGCCATGCTTCCCCCTCCCCCCACCATTCACAGCGAGTGGGGCCATGCAGGGTCATGCAGGCACTTCAGCTACAGGAATCTGAGACTCTGGAGACAGAGGGGAAGGTGCTGTTTCTTCCTTGCTCCTCATGCTTGGGGGTCAGCCCTCTTTGTGGCAGACAGGACAAGGCCCACCGGGGCTGTGAGGTGGGGACGCAGGGGAGGGTCAGGGACAGTTTCTAGTCCCTGGAGGGACTTGGCGGGAAGGGTTAGAACACGAGTCTCCCTTTCCAGGGCTGGATACCTAAGGAAGGGGGGTGGGTGCGGCAGCAGGAGCCAGACAGGCCACTAATTCTGAAGCATCTGCTATATACCCCTGGAGCCTGGCCCCTGCTGCCCTGAACAAGCTGGGCACCCAACCATGGTGAGGGTGGGCTTGGGACAACAGGCAGGGGAGGACTGTGTATGGCAGCAGCTTCCTTTAGGGAGCTGCTGGGCCTGGAGGGCAGATGAAGGAACTGGGGCTATCTTGCCTGCAGAGAGAAGTGGGCTCCTGCCAACCTGAAGGAGCAGATGTACTTGTTCTAAGACAGCCCCTGACATCAGGAGGCTGATGCGGGCTTAAGGAAGGAGAGACCCTTAGGAAGTGAGCTCCTAGTGAGAGGAGACACCATGCAGAGGCCCTGCCTCAGGACCCCATAGACTTAGAGCAGCCACACAGGAGCCTGGGTTGGGGTGGGGGGGGGCGGGGGGTGCTACAGGCCCAGCGCCTATCACCTGCTTCCGTGAGGGCCTCAGGGCCTGCCTGCAGTAAAAGCCCATCCTCTGGGGAGAGGGCTCACCGGACAGTTCCGCAGCCCCAGCAGACCCCCAGGCAGGCAGCTGAGCACAGGGCAGGGACCTGTAGTCTGGAGCCCAGAGGAACGAGGGGCTGACAGAGGAGGCCACCCTCTAGTCCTGCCCACACAGAACTGCACCCTGCAGTAATGTGCAGCCTCTATGCAAACGATGGTTGGCCCAGGTGCTCCAAGTCCTGTCCACTACTGCCCTGCTGGGCAGGTGGCAGGCCCTCTACTTTTGACTCTACATTCGGCTCTCTGGAGACCACAGCTCAAGCCTGAATCACAAAGCTGACACTGTCCTGAGTTGGGGGACCTGCTGCTGCAGATGGAGGCTGCTTTTCTCAGATTTCCCCTTCCAGGCCTGTCTGCCTCCCAGCTTCCCTCGCGCCCCCACCCCTTATACACACAGCAGGATTGCATGCCTCCATCTCATGCTCACCACCACCCTCCCGCAGGAGCTGCCGGAATCTGGGCCCTACCCCCACGGCTCACTCACCCAATGCAGGGACCCGATGCAGACCTTGGCAGCCATCAGGGGCACAGTGGGGTCCGAGGGCCGAAGCTTCATGCACTCCCGCAGCAGAGACACGGCGTAGGCTGACTGCAGAAGAAAGGGCAGGTGACACCATTACTGACAGCCCTGGGCCTCAACGGACTGGGTGCCTCATGCCTACGGCCTGGGGGAGCTCCCAAACCGCCAGTCCTTGCTCTGTACCCCTTTCCTCCCAAGAGCCAGGAAGAGGGCCCAGTGAGAGGAGCACAGGTCATGTTGGTGGACAAATCCCTCCTGGGCTTCAGGTTCCTCATCTGGAGAATGGAGGCTGTGACCTTTGCCCAGAGGTGGTGTGCCAACAGCTAAGGTAACAGCAGGTGGAAGCTCTTCAGAAGGAACTCAAATATGAACCATGGAAATTTTAGAGGCAAAAAGGGGCTCTCTCAAACTTCTGAGCTCAATAGCCTTCGTTTTCAGGGGACGGGATGACACCAAAGCCCTGCAGGAGCTGGAGGCAGGGCTGTGGTGGGGAGATGAGACGAGGCATAAACGCTGGCAGAGGAGGAGGAGAGAAGTCTAGCTGGCAGAGCCAAAGAAAACCTCCAGCCAGGAATCCGAGGCCCCACAAGGCTCCAGGGACTCGGCCACAGAGATGGGGCCAGAATGGACCTGCTGAGAATGGCCATGTGTGGAGGGAGGGCCAGGAGGAGAAACCATCTGCAGCCAGGCAGCAATATGACCAATCACAATAATGAGAAGGAGAACACTAGCTAACACTTACTTAGATCTTACTACGTACCAGGCACTGTTATAAATCAGGGCCAAATGTGGCCCTCTGTCTGCTCTTGGAAATAAAGTTTTATTGGAACTCAGCCACACCCATTCATGTATGTATTGCCTACAGCTGTTTTTATGACAGAGTGGAGTAGTTCCCACAGAGACTACTTGGCCTGCAAAGTCAAAAATATTTACTATTTGACCCTGTATACAAGGTCTGCTGTCTTCTGTGCTAAGTGCTTTATAAATATTAAGTCATTCATTTTTCACTACTCTTCTATGAGGTAGTATGCTATGTCCCTATTTATAGGTGAGGAAACTGAAGAAGTTAAGTAGCTTGTTCAAAGCCACAGTACCCATAAGTGGCTGAGCTGGGGTTTGAACAGTCTGGCTCTAAGCTTGTAACCACTGCCCTATTCTGCTCTGTGGTGACTACCTTGGCAGAAGAAGCCTGTGTCTCCCTGCTGCGCGCGCACACACACACACACACACACACACACACACACACAGTCAGGGCTTCTGACTGAATCCAACACTTTTCCAAGAAACTCAGCAGTGACACCACCCCAAGTGTGCACACTCCCATGGTTGTGTGACCCCCAGGTAGGCAGGCAGGGGCATGCGTGTGTAACTACAATTCCCACATGCTAAGCCCTGCTGTGAGTCAAGCTTCCTCACCATTAATTAGCTTTCACCCTCCCCAGCAACTCCGAAGGTTATCACTGAGGAAGTGGGATTCTGTTAGGCTTACTTGTCCCCAGCTCAGTGTGAGACTGGCAGAAACAGACCTGGAACTCAATATCTGTGTCCACCCTAGACCCCCAGCCTCTCTCTAGCTACCCCTCCTTTCTCAGCCCAGACATGACAGACTGAGGCTCTGGGCTCAGGCTTATTAGGCCAATTCCAGGTGTCCTAGTCAAGGGCCAGTTCCCGGCCCAGTACTGGGCTGGGGTTGTGGGGTCACTGCAGGAAGGCGGAAGAGGTCATGACTCTTGCCTATCAGGTGCCTGCACAAAGGTCAGGGACAGAAGACAAAAGCTACCATTCCCCACTGCTCTCTTGGGAAACACAGGACACACGAGGGTGTGAGACCAAGCACAGGAAGGTGTCAGCAGACGACCTGTTCTGGCAGGCTGGGAGACTGGCCTAGACTGCAGGATGGGAGGTGTCGTGAAGGGCCTGAAGGGGCTGCCAGGAGATGCACAGCTCCTGTGAATGCAACTCCCAGCACCCCCCGCCACGGCCCCCTGTCCACACAGCACAGCAAGCCTCGGGTTCTCCTTGGCCTCCTTCCCTGGCTGCTGGCCTCTGCAGGGTTGAAGTGTTCCCTGACCTTGAAATAAAGGTTCTATAACCCTGACTGTCCATGTTCACCACACACAGACCACAAAATGCTGCTATTTAAGGAGCCAACTGAGGACTCCACAGTCACGGTTGGCAGCTTTTTTTTCCTTTTTCTTTTTTTTTGTCATGCTGGTTACCTAGCAACGCAGCCAATGTGACTGCTGAGGAGACCAAGAGAAGGAGCGACCTAAATCATGTCATGGACCTCATCGTTTCTTCCTGCAGGTTGAGGTGTCAGATGTGTTTATATTGGCCTGGCCTCACCTTCGGCACAAGTGCAGGTACAAGAACCTTGATTCCTACCTTAGGCTTTGGCAGAGGCCAGCTCTGGCCAATGTCGAGGGCTGCCTGGGCCAACCAGGCAGACTGAGCTGGTGTGCAGGTTCCTGAGGGGAGTGGAGAGTGCGTTTCCAGAACAATCTCCTGCTACACCAAATGCAGGGATGGGTATAACCCAGTGTCTCCGGACTGTGGGGTCTCATGTGCGAGGAACTCCCACATCACCCCAACTCCCTGCCTATATGCCCATTCTCATGCCCACCTTGCTGGTCTGTGAAGGAGCCAGGCCCGAACACCAACTCCCTGGATCCTGGGACGTGCCAGACTGCGTGTGGACCTCTCTGATCTCTGAGCCTGGCTCTTCTCAGTAAGGAGGTTCGAGATCCCGTACCTCCCAGACTAACATGACACCTTCTCCTGAGACTGGGGGGCTTCCTGGAGTACCACCAGATATTAAAGCTAACTTCTGAATGTGGTACGTTCTTCTGAGAGGGGTCCCCAGCTTTTCTTGGCATCTCAAAGGGGGTTCATGATTCACAGAAGGGTGAGGACCACTGCTGTGGCCCTGGGCCTCTCCTCCTGGTTCATGCTCACTATTATAAGACTAGAGGCTCTTTGTTTCCCAGAGTCGGGAAGAAGCTGTCACATGCCCCTGTGACCTGTCTGCCCAGGCTCTGTGTAAGCTCCAGCCCTACCTCCTCCCCTCCCTCAGGCCTCACTCTGTCTGTGGCTTGAACTCCCCCTGAGCCTTGACAGGACCCTGCTGAGCACAGAGCCAGGGTACATCATGTCTGTGCATTTAGGAGGCTCTGGGAGGTCAACTTGATGGGGGAGGGGAAGAAGTCTGGGAAGACAAACTTGATAGTGGGGGGCGGGGTGGTGCAGGGGTGGGAGGCTCCCCAGGTGATTCTCACCATACTCCCCTGGCCCCTTCCCACCTGTCAGGCTGCAGCCCCTGCTCTTCTTCCTCTTTCCTGCCTGACCCAGCCAGCATGGCCTCCATTTGTGGGGGAGATGCTGGCAAGCCCAGGAGGGCCCGCCTCGGAGACCAGCTGCAGGGCTAGAAATGGCAGGTGGCACAGATGGGCGGGGGAGGGGGCAGGAATTCCCTCAGCCCCACAAAAGGGCTCTGGGTGTTTACAGCTCTTGGCACGATTTGCAAGCTCCTGCCACCTTATTTCCTGCATTCATAACGTCCTCGGCTCTAACACCCTCAGCACCCAGCTCCGGAAAGGTTTTCCTTTCATGTTACTGCTGAAAATAGAGGCTTATGTAAGTGTAATTCTCATCAGAGGAGAAAGCAGGGGGTGCTGGAACAGGGCTCGGTGGGTAGAGTGCAAAGGTGGCCCTGGTGACCTGGGATAAGGGCAGTCTCCCTGCCCCCGCCCCAGCCACATCCTCTGACGCAGTCCTCCCTCTGAACTCCCAAACTCCCATGTGGGAGCTGCTGTTCTGCTCCACCCTCTACCTCTCCCTCCCAGGCAGGTCCTTCCATGGGAAGGTCCTTTCCTGACACCACACTCGATGGGCAGGAAGAGAGCTACGGCCCAAATGGAACAACATGCTCCTTGCCCAGAAGCCTTGTCCCAGGCCTGTTTCACACAGTGGTACTCAAGTCACACATGGAAATGCTCCGATGCCACATGTGTGCACATGTACTAGGAGAAAAGCATCCACAGACTCACACTGCACACCTGGCACCTCATAACTCACAGGGGGACACCAGAGTCACACAGGGGTCTGTGTGTGACCCTCTGGTGCCCCCCACTCTCCTGGAGATTAAAACCTGATGCGGGACATTTCTGAATCACTGCCACACCCTCCACTCACCTCTGGGAGGGCCCAGAGGAGAGCAGAGGCCCCATGGGTGGGGCCCTATCGGTGCAACCTCCCCCACCCCACACACACCCCGGGTCTTACCTTCCCACAAGCCACCATGGAGAGGGCCACTTGGTACCAAAGGTGAAATTCTTCAAAGGCAAACTTCATGGCTCGCTCCAGGCACTGAGGAGAGGGGGCTGGTCAGCACTTCCCCACCAGGGGTCCTCCCCTCCCAGCCCAGTCCACTCCTTTCCAGGGTAACCACTGCCCAAATCACTTCCTGGAGGAGGCTGTCTTCGGCCCACACTTGGTTCCCGTCAGCAAACGCCAGGCATCACCTGTCCCTGCCACAGGCATGCTGGATGACTTTGCACAAGTCTCTTACCCTCTCTGCCCCTTGGTTCCTACCTCCACAACGTGTGAAAACCTTCCAGGGTGATGGTCAAAAGTGAATGAAATTGGGTCTGGGTTTTTAAAATTTAAACATCCCATAAAAACGATAAGTGACATTCATTATTGTGCATGGTACCATTCTCAGCTTTTTACGTGTATTAGCTCATTCATTCTCCCCAACAGATCTGTGAGGTGGGTTCTCTCATTATTCCCATTTCACAGATGAGGAAGCTGAGGCTTGAATGACTTATCAGGGTCACAGGGCTAGTAACTGGCAGAGCAGGCTGACTACAAAGCCCCCCATATGGAAAGGCTTTTTCTCGGTTCTGCTATTCTCTATGACCACCGAGAAGACTGACTGCCCCACCTGCCTGTCCAGTCCTGGGCAAGCCCGTATCAGGGGTGGCCTGGTGAGATCCAACAGACGTAATACAAGTGCTTCCAGGTGATGGAGGCAGAAGCCAGCATGTGAGGACAGGATTCATCATGTGGCCATGGTCAGGCGGGGTGGGAAAAAGAGGTGAGGTTACAGGACCAGACAGTATGTACTTTAAGAGCTCGCTGGCCTGGGTTCACTTGCTGGCTCAGTGTGCACTCTCACCGCCATCTTGGGCAAGAAACCATCTCTCTGGGCCTTGCCTTCCTTGCTGGTAAACTCGAGAGAATACTACTTAAAGAAGGTATCCTCTGAGAGCACCTTGCATGGCACCTGGGGCAAGCAGGAGCTCAGCAGATGTCACCTACCCCAGGAACCCCGTAAACACATGGGAAGAGAATCCACTGCCAAAAGGCCTATCCCTAGTGCCACCTTTGATCCCAGCCCAGATTGGAAAGCTCAAACATGTATGCGTGCCATTCGCACTGTGGGGGATGGAGAGAGGGACAGCTTGGTGCTCTGGTCCTTCCATCTCCACCCCGGACAGGCACCATCCCTAGAGCGTTGCCCAACCAGGGTCTGCTCAATAGATTGGGGGTGCTCTGTCTAGCTTGGGTGGGAGGGGGCCCAGGTTCCCGACACACACCAAGCTCAGAACCTTGTTGGGAGAGGCAGTAATGAAACACCAGTGTCCTCTGTGGGGGAAACTGAGGGGTGGATAATTTTCCCTTTGTGTTTCTCTATGCAACGCCATGTGTTTTTTTCAAAAGAAAATCACATAAAAACACTAGCAAAACAACTGAAAACCAAAACCCCACCCTGCCAGTGATGAGCAGCTCTCCCAACATTGGAAATGGAATGGTCCTAAGCCTGGTCTCCCAAGAACTGAGCTGTACCCCTTGGTGGAGGCAGGAAAGGGACAGAGGAGGAGGTCCTTGGTGGGCCACCTGACTTCTGGGGAGGGGTGGGCCACCGTACCTCAGAGAGCATGACGTACTGGCCTCTCCTGCCCAGCGTGATGCTCAGGAGGTCATAGATGGCCGCAGCGTTCCGCAGGCTCACTGCCCGGTCCTCCTCCTGCTCCGGTGCTCGGCTCAGCACCACATCTCGGGTAGCCTGTGGGGGAACGTGGTTTGGGAAAGAGCAAGGACAGAAAATAAGCAGCTGCCTGCCTCCAAGGCCCGGTGACCATCACCCTTACATTGCTACCCAGGCCATGCTCCTAAAATCAGCCAGAGCCTTTCCCCATCCCCATGAAGGCCCCCATGAAAGAGAGAAAACCCTCTACTCATAGCCCAGGTGAGGAAGCAGTTCTGAAGGTTCCTGCTATTCAATGTTTTAGTCTGCAAAATCTCAAACCTACAGAAAAATTTCAAGGATAATGGCACTGATCACATTTGCCTGTCTCTAGTATATAATAATAATCATAATCATAATCATAATAATAACAATAATAAAGTCATTATGGTAAGATGACCCTTTGCCCCTAAATATAAGAAT